GTTGGAAGTTGAGGTTATGGATCCTAATACTGAACATTTTAACATAAAGTTGAATGTGGGATGAGTGAACTTTTGAAGTGCTATAGAGAAATTTATCAAGAAAAACGGAATGCAAACCACAGTTACAAGTTTCTTTTTGACTATTACATCCAAGACCAAGCCCTTGAAGGTACAACTTTTATTTCATCGTCATCATCTCCTTTACCTGGGAAAAAAACCTCTACAAATCCAGATAACCATATAAACAAATATATGTACATATGCATGTCTTTTTTATGAATAAATTTGAAGTTTGTTGCATAATTTTTATAATTTTACAACGATCCTGTATTCCTGGTGCAAGTTCCTCACTTATCGACCAATTCGCTTAACAACATAGTCGTAGGAACGGAACTCGGTCGTAAAGTGAGGAGTACCTGTATATGTAGGATGATTCACTGATGAGTGGCTTTTCACAAAAACCACTGGAGATAAGAAGATAGGACTAATTATCCATTTTTTAAGCAGATAGGATAACAATTTTGTGACCTTGGATGACCTTGAAAATCAACAGTTTTTGCGATATAGAACAAAATAGATTTTTTAAAAATTATTATAAGGAGAGCTTTCCAGCCATATATGGATTTTACATTATAAAATAAACACATTTTGTAACAGGTTCTTCTTAATGCGCCATCTCCTGTCGAAGGTTGGCGATCCATATAGCTAACGTTGTCCTCGATATAGCAGCTTAAAATATCTCCATAGATGTACATTTTTAGGGTTACATTTTCTTAAACCTAATGGTTTTCAAGATATTGGTCAGTTTCTGCTAAAATCTGATTTATTTTTTTTCCAAAAGTTTCTATGCTGGAAACTAAGTTTATCAGTTTAATTATCAAAAAACTTTACAAGACAGAAAAATGATAGTAATGAAAGTACATTTCAAAATTTATTTAAATTAGATGCTAAGAATATCTACCCTCTTGGTCAGGGATGGATCTAGGTTTTTTGGGGCGTAGGGCTTATTGAAATCCAATGAGGCCACATTTACCATAAAACAAATACAGTAGAGCATCGATTATCCGACCCCCGATTAACTGTCACATCAGTTAACCGACCGTTCTAGTCGGCAAATTTCAAATGTCCGCCAGTGATGTGGTGCTACAATATTTGGCTATGTCTTGGCTACTTTATTATTATTTTTGTTAAATTTTTGTGTGTTTTAGCTGGCAACAGCGACTCAACCATTGAAGAGAGGCCAGTATTTAAGCGAGACTTAATTTTCTAATTATGAGTGGTTGTTTGTTTTGTGAGCAATAAAATAATTTAAAAATAATTTTTAACGATACGATAGCAACGATTATTATTTTTTAAAAAATTTGTTAGGTTTAACATCGATGAAAATTCAATGTGAAGTTGGTTAATAGCAATATACTAATTACATGGGATATACTAATATACTATACTAATAATGTATTTTTTTCATTTTTTTCAGTTATCCGACCAACCTGAGTCCCCAATTGAGTCGGATAATCGATGCTCTACTGTAATACCATAAATTAACATTATTATTATACTAGCTGCAAGGACCCGCTTCGCTGGGCAAAAAGTAACGATAGTGAAGATTAAGATAATTACATTATAGCTAATCTTACCCGTTTTTACAAAATGCAAGAATTAGGTCCCCCGTTTCCAGACTAATTAGAGAATTTTTACGTTTAGTCAAACGAACTATTTTCAACGTTTCTGGAACGTTTACAATCGTTCTATAATCGAACCAATATTCGAATTTTATGTTCGAATTTAATTCGAACAAATTCGAACAAAACATTCGAAATAGAAAGCCACTTTCAACCACTTTCAGCCTCATATCTCCCGCACCCTTATAGCTATCAAGACGCAACCACCCCTATGCACAAATGGAGACTTGGGGCTACCACACATACAAACACCATTCACGTGCGATGTGTAATTTTTGCGGAAAAGTGAAATATAGGGACATACATGTTCATTTATATATATATATATATATATATATATAGATTATTAATATTAACTATTTTTTACTATATGACAAATGCTCATTGTTAATGATAAAGTATTAAAAATTTATGATGATAATTCAATTTTTGTGGGCCCTTGACACTTGGGGCCCAAGGCTGAAGTCCTATTAGTCCCTATGTAGATCTGCCCCTGCTCTTGGGGTATAAAGGCATTTATTCTTCTAGGAAAGGCATTTAATACATTTCATAATTCAGGTATACTAACCTTATGAAAACTTTCTGAAATTCTCATTTTCGTGATTTTAGTTGAAGGATGCTGAAAGCAAACCATTTCCTTCATTTGTCCCCATAACGACTGGCATAAAGATTTGCAGCTTGGGAATAATTTTGGTAATATGCACCTAAAGTCATTAGCATATCAAATGCCTTTTCATTTGAATAACTCATTTTCATAAAAATAGAGAAAATAAGTAAATACAGTAGACACCCCCATAAAACAAGTTCTTATAATATGGATTTGTATAAAACGGCAAAACAATTGCAATCGTATTCATATAAACATGCTAAAAGAGACTTGTATAATACAATAAAACATCATTGCCAACTTGTGTTGCAACAGGATTGGTCGCATTTAGACCAATAGTGGTTATTGCACAAACTGTTGAGTATAAACAAGCAGCAGACCTACTAAAAACCATTTATTATTTAACAGCCATAAAAATTATATTTATATTAATGATGTCTCCAAAGTTCAGCAAATTTTTCACAGAAAAATAACTTATTGGGAAATCAGGAAACTTATCAGGAAGCAACACGTCCGCCATTCGATGCACTACTCTGCAACGAAAACAAGCTTAAGCAATGGTGTCATCGAACGGTGCACACTCAGTAAGTAATCCTACAATTTTTTTGTTTATAGCATAGTTTATATGGATTATTCCCAAAAAATTATATGTGTTTTGGAAATGTTGAGTCAAATTAGTCTAGACTCGATTAATTTTATGGAAGAAAACCTTTCAAACAGCTGTAGTCCCTAAACTGCATATGTGCTGGGCTGTGATTGGCTCATGTATTTAAGTGACTTGTACAATGTGGAATTCATAAAACACGGAATGTATCTACCATGTTATAGGGGGGTCTACTGTACACAAAAATGAAAAAAGATCACTCCAAAAATGGCACTCCTTTACACTTTGAAAAAGTAACAATTTAATTTATTAAAAGGTTGCTTGTTCAAAAATCTGATTGATAAGATAAAGAACAAAAACTGATAAACTTAGTTCCCAGCATAGAAATTCAGAAAAAAGAGAAATCAGGTTTTTAGCAGAAACTGGTCAATATCTTGAAAACAGTTAGGCTTAAGAAAGTGTGGCATATTACAAAAGGTATTTATTCTGTAATATAAGATCCACATAATGGCTCAAAAGCACTCCTTATAATTTAAAAAACCCTATTTTGTTCTGTATCTCAAAACTGCTGATTTTCAAGATTGCCTAAGGTCACCAAAATTATCTGCTCTAAAATTTGGTTATTAGTTACATCTTCCTTATCTTCAATGGTTTCTGAGGAAAAAAAACTACTGAACACCACCAGTGAATCATCCTGTATATACATACATATAGAGAATTTCAAAAATATACCAAAAAATTTCAGTGAGTTACAGAGGATATGAAAACAATCATTTTTTGTTAATAAACCCATATCCTCAAATGGGCTGTTTTGGCAATAAAGCAATTATTTGAATTTACAATACATGCTCAAAATGGTGACCATGTACTTCAATAGGGCAATTGCATTTTTGATTTACGGATTCACAAACCCTATGGAATATTCCTGGAAGAGCTTGCATATGTGCACAAGTGACCATGACTCTTACCAAAGCTCATCCTTTATGGCAATTGGGATACCAATTCTTGGCTTCCAAGAAGAGTGTGAAAGAAACAAAGCCTAAGAGGAAGATTGTAAAATGGACAATTAAGATGAAAAAGGAACTTATAACAAAGTATGAAAGCAGTATATGTATGTGGTGGATCTGGCAGCCATGCTTAAGATACCAAAGTTGACAGTGTGCATCATTTGTAAGAACAAGGAGGCAATAAAAGAAGAAAATATGGCTAAAGGTGTGACAACATTGACTTCCTGGAAATTGCATGTTATTGAAGATGGAAAAACTTCTAGATAAATGAGAAGCAATTAGCTGGTCACATCATCTCAGAGGATTTATTTATGAGAAAGCCAAGCAGGATGTATAGCAACTTTAAGAAACAAGACATTACCACTCCTCACTAAGATATAGTAAATACAATTTTCATTTTATTATATAGTATTTATCACAGAAATACTATCCCAAACTGGATATAGGTTTGGGAGTATTGTACAGTATTTATGTATTTTTATTTATTGTTTTCATGTTTTACTTTATTATTTAGGGCTTTTAATTGTGTTATTTTTTACCTTAAATTATGTGAATTTGCTGTTTAAGTTTATTGAAATGGCTATTATTTATGCCCTGGAAACAGATTAATTCACTTTTTTTTTTAATTCTAATGGAAAAAATTGATTCAGACTTTGAACAACTGAGCTTGAATGACCTCCTAAATAAATTAAATTCAAAGTACAAGGAACCACTGTAATTTTATATAAAAATATATAGTAGATAATTGAATGAATTGCTTTCTCAGATTGTGTAAACAAATGATAACAAAGATAAATAATTATTATATTTATTTATTTATAAATGACTATTGCTTCTCATACTTCAAAATATTGTTGAACTACATATCTTACTCTATAAAATACTTAACAATGTGATATATTTTTTTACTTGTGATAAAAATTGTTTTGTAATTTTTAAGTACAACTTTAATTTGTAAAAAAATAAAAAATAAAATTTATACACAGCAAATCTTCACTTAATGTCATTAAAGAAAGGTACAGTACATGTACATTTGTAATCATTTATTATTACTGTTGAATTATCTTTACAAACAGTAAAATCGATTCTATGAGATAGGAAATAAATGTTGAAGTTGCAAACACAATCCAATTAGAATAATAATAACTAAATTATATCATGCCTAAGGTAAAATTAGTTTGGTCATACATCATTTTGCCTAATGTTGCACTTTCCATAAGACTGTTGATGGCATTAAGTGAGTACTTGCTGTATATTCATTATGTTTATAAATGCATAATAAAAACTTTTCCATTTTAATTTTTAACTTTAAAAAAATAACACATTTATTATTAGTGTTCCACAGAACTAAAAATATATTAAAAAGGCTAGTTCCACAGCTTTCAAAAGGTTGACTGCCTTTAGATAATTGGGCAATGAAGTGTATATAAATTCAAAGCTTTCGTAGCAAGTTACTTTACTTCTGCAATTTAAAAACCAAACAATAAGAATTTTATACTTACTAAAAATATGGAAGACATTCCATAAGTATTAAGTTCTTACAAATAAAATTACTATTTTTCATTTTTGACTTTGAAGGCTTATTATTCAATCTTAACAAATACATTTTTTAAAAAATGTATACATAAAAGAATATTAAAATGTCATCACATGTTAATTGAAACAATTATTGTAACACATAAATATTTAATCAAAATAGTCCTTAACAACTCAAATACAGTAGAGCGTCGTTTATCTGAATCAATTGGGGACTGGGGTTGTTTGGATAACTTATTTTTCGGATAACCGATTATGTACGAAAAAATACATTAACCTATCCCGTGTTGAAATTTTTCTCCATTGCATATACCTTTGCGTTGATTTTTTGTCGATGTTAAGCCTAATGTAAACCTTTTTAAATAATAATCGTGGCTATTGTATCGTTAAAAATTATTTTTTTATTTTTTACAAACAAAATAAATATATTGAAAAATATAAAAACAAAAAAATTAATACTTTAGAAGTTATCTAGTATGAAAAACATTCGATTCAGCATGACACACAGTCCTCAGAAAAACACCATACAAAAGTGACAGTGCTGCCAGCTAAAACACATACACAAACATAAAAAATATTGGAGTATCCCAAGATATAGCAAAGATTGCAGCGCCACAGCACTAGTGAAAATTTAAATTTGCCGACTGGAATTCTTTCAGATAAACTACGCTCTACTGTACATTTCTCCCAATGGAATATAAGTGCATTAATGCCAATTTCATAAAACTCAGGAAGCCAAAAAGTCATCAAATGTACTTTTAACAGTGTCATTTCCCTTAAAGAATTCTTCTCCCAAAAATAAAAGCTATCAAGATGTTTAAAAAAGTGATAGTCCATCAACAAAAGATTTAGAAAATAAGGTGGATGAGGAAAATTTTGCAGTTCAATTCTGTCAATTTTTTTTATGGTAGCTTTTCAATATGTGGTCTTGATTGTTACTCAGCTGTGCTAAACACCACATCTATTCACCAATGGTGGCCCATTCAGGGGCCAGGTGTTGGTGAATAGATGCACCTTGTCTCTCTTGCTGAGTTTAAGTGGTACCTATTTTTTGAACTTCTTGACTTTCCCTAAGACCCTTAGATGTCAGGATGTGGTTGAATAATGAACATTAACCTTAAACAATAAACTACAAGGGTGGGAAGTTTAAATTTTAAAAAATGATAATTTTATTTGCAACAATCCAATACTTTAATTATTCTATTATTGTTTAAGGTAATAAATTTTTGAACTGCCACTTTTAAATTATAATATAATAATGAAAACAAAATTATCATTTATTTAATGTTTAATGTTGAATGAATAAAATTAATAATCAGTTCAGATGCATTCATGTTAAAAAAATTCACAATACCAAACTCCTGCCCTTACAGACAGACAAAACTGATAGGTAAGCTGGCTTCACCTTCTTCTCATATGACAGTCATTTCAGTAGTATATACTATTCATTGAATTAGATGAACGATAAGTTAAATTTTTTACTTACTCTCTTTTGGCTTGTTTCTCAATGTCATATAAAGGAATGGTTGATATTGTTTCACGCTTAACTGCTTTCCTTGCTAACTGTTTTTTAATTTTTCTGTTAAAATAATTTAAAATACAAAATGCATAAATAATAATTGCAAATGAATGAGCAAATAATAATAATTATTAATAGTCAAACTAACTTGGATGGTTTCTTCAACTGAAGCATAAAATCAGGAACATCACATCCAGAATCTTTCATTACTTGAGCAATACTGATTTAAATAAGTAAATGTAAGAAGCTAAAAAAAATAAATTATAGTATTTTCAAAACAGATAATTACCTGCGTAAATTAATTCTATCTTCTTCTGTGAAAAAGGTTATAGCATGACCAGGACGTCCTGCTCTACCTGTTCTACCTAAATTTATACAGATTTTCTTTCATTGACATTCTTTAATTTAATAAATTTAAATTAAATTTAGAATTCATATTTATATATATCATTTTAATCAACTGAAATCCAATATTCTAATCATTGTAAAAAGACACAACAAATGTAATCTTAAGCAAAGCAATTGTATGAAATTAATAAAAAATATTGAGAATAACTGAAAATATTTAATGACAGTAACTATTCTTTAACCTATTCAAATGACTCTCATAAAATTATTTGAAAAATAGTCACTTACTAATTTAAATCTGAAATGCTAATTCCAATAAATTTTAACTCTAATATTTAAGATTATGGTAATTTTATTTAAAATTTAAATTAATTGTGATGTAAACAAGGTATAATATCCTATTAAAATTTTTAACATACTTGATTGTTTTTTCTTCTTTTTAACATAAATTTATACATATGTAAGCATTAAACCCGTAAATCTAAGTTTTAAGTACAATCAACCTCCTTTAAACTACCCCTCCATATACCGCCACCCTGGGTTATCTGACAAAAGTCTCAAAAAACAATTTGTTCCATAGTAAATCTACAGTATAAACCACAAACCCATTTTCCTCCATCCACCAACCATGAATTAATTGATGGTTAAGAGCAATTGTTACAACAGTTAACATCTGCACATGGCCCAAATAATGGTTAGAGAGAGCTGAACACACATTCTGTCTGAAACTGTTTAGATTTTTTCATGTTCTGAATTCTTGCTGTACTGTACATTATGATTGTTTTAGTCTTTTACACAATGAAAAAAAATCCTTACAATAAACAAAAAGCAAGAAATCTGTGCATACAGTGAAACCCATCCATCCTGTTCTCAAAAACATATTGTCAGTCACTTTTCTATTGTCTGGAAGAAAAATATAAATAGACAGACGATAGGAGATATCTTAAATCAAAAAAGCAAGTGAATGAATGCAATAGAAACAGAACATTTAGAAAAACGAAAACTGGAAAATATGGCAAACTTGAAAAATCATTACTGATATAGATTGCACAAGTAAATGCAAAGAGTGGCACTGTCACAGATGATGTGATAAGAAAGTAAGTAGAAATATTTGAACAGCAGATGTATATAAGCAATTTCAGTTACAGCAATGGGTGGCTGCATTGGTTTAAACAGTGTCATAATCTATCACAGTAAAAGAAACATGGTGAAACTGTTGATTTGGATGTTGTAGAAGAGGGAAGAACTAGTATGTCAACAATAATACAGCTGTATGATACGAAAGATGTGTATAATATAAATGAAACAGCTTTATTTTACTGATTATAATCTGATAAACTGATTGCTCATGCATCTTGAAAGGCTAAAAGAAGAATAAAGATAGAATTACAGTTGCCTTTTGTAATTCAGATGGTAGTGATAAGAGAACTGTGACTGTTATTGAAAGATTTGCAAAGCCTTGTTGTTTTAAAAATTTTAGTGCAGTTATGATATTATAGTTGGTAATTAAAAATAAAAATACCTTCTTGATTAAAATAAATTTTTTAAAATGTTAAAATATTCATTATTGAGTTTGTAAATGAAATAATTTAGATTTACAATCACATAAAAAATTATACTATTGCATGCATGATCATAATCATCATAATCACATCATCATTTCTTTTTTTGATTTATTTCTCAACATTAATTATCATTAATTAATTAATTTAATTAAAGTAATGATAAATCAAAGTTGAAGAATATAAATATCTTTTAAAAATAAAATGTAATTTGTTATGCTTTGCAGCTTTAAGATTCGGAAATTTTTAATTTTTCAATTTATTTGAATATATTTAAAAATTAAATTTTATTCTCTAACATATTACAGGAAATAAATATTAAAAAATTATTAAAATTTTCAAGAAAGCAACAATGCAAACTTTTTACAGTAAAAATTACTATATTTCAAAATAAAAAATTACCTATCCTGTGAATGTAAGATATAGCACTTCGAGGAAAATCATAATTTATAACCAGGTTTACACCTTTAAAATCAATACCACGTCCCATAAGTTCTGTACAGATTAATATCCAAATTTTTCCTGATCTGAAAGATTTTACAGTATTGTCTCTTTGCAACTGAGTTCGTTCTGAATGGATCACATCTACATTAATTCCATCATAAATCAATTCACTGAATAGTTCTTTTGCTCTTTCTTTTGTTTCTACAAATATAAGCACAGGTGGCATAACACCCTAAAAAATAGAATTCATTTAATTATATTATATGCTTCTTAGTATTAAAAAAAACAATGAAAATATAAAATAGAACAATAAAAAACATATTACTCTTTTAATCAGATTTCGGAATTCAATAAGTTTTCCAGATTCATTTCCTACAAATATTAATTCTTGTTTTACTAAATCTGTGGCTGAATTTCTGAAAAACAAATCAAATAATTTATACTGTAGCCTGTTTTATAAAATAAACAAAATAAGAAACTGGAAAAAGAATGTATAAACACATCAAAAATTACTCCAGCAATTAAAAATTTCATTTGAGAAAATAAGATATATATATATATATAAAATAGCCTCATATATCTCATCATAAGTTACTCCAGCAATTGAAATTTTCAATTGCTGGAGTAATTTATGATTATGTTATGTTTACATCTTTTTCTATAGGTTATCTATGTCTTTGTGCACTTTAAAATTGTAACAACATAGATTCTATCCAAGATAAAAATAATCTGTATAATGCATCGGAAAGATTACTTATTTTACTTTTTTTAAGTCTAAGTGATACAAATCACCTAATTTGTTCCTATTGGTCTTTTTCTAAAGAGACATATTAACCTTTTCACTGTCTAAGCAATTTTCATTGTCTATCATGATACACTTTTGAAATAAAGTAAATATTCTTTAATGAAAATTAATTTATGTTATATTACAAATGTAAATTAACTATGTTAAGCATTTCCTAGTTACAGAGCAGCAATATATCATATTTGATTCACAGACCTATGAAGAAAACTTTTTATATAAGTGCTTTGTACATTTTATGTTACTAAACAATTTCTGCCATTTCTCTCTCTCTCATCTCTATCTAGCTCCCTCTCTCTTCATATATAGTTTATTTTCTGCACAAATAACTTTTGCAATCTCATACATCTCATCAGTTAACAAATATTCTAAGTTAAAAATCACACCTTTATCAATCCAGCAAACGATTTTTAATACCATAAAAAGCCTCTTTTATTTTATGTTAACAAATATTCCAAGAAAAGAATGAAATAGAGTTGCATGTAAAAGATATGTTAATTGTTACAAAAAGATAAATTTAGAGTCCTAGACAAGCAAGAAAAAAAGAGCAAATTAAGTGTCCACTCATTGTCCACTCAGTGTAATATAGCTTTTTGTCTTGAAAGCTACAACCTAACCCATCAAAGAATATAGTAAAGTTATAATGTTTTATAATTTTCATATTGTATGGTAAGAAATGAAGTTTCATTTCTCAGTTACAATAAACATTCCTTTAGTTTATATTAAACTAGTACTAGTAGCCTGGGCTGACCCCTAGTGGGCGTTCTTGCAGCAGTGGTGTCATTCCATGGTATAAATAATAAATTTATATTACAAATAAAAATAATAATATACTGAATTTCTCATTGCGTACCCTACTAAAACGCAGCCAAAAATGCAAAAAACCACATCAAATAATAATATACTGAATTTATTGTTAATTTAAATAATAGCTAGGGGTATNGAATTTTAAAAAAAACCCTTCTTAATGTGCATTCTCATGGCATACCCTACTAAATCACAATCAAAAACACAAAAAACTGCATTTTTTGTTATTTTAATACTGTTACACAAAAAACTGAATTTATTGTTAATTTAAATAATAGCTAGGGGCACCCCTAGTGGCCATTCTAGACATACCATTACAGATATATGGACACGCGATCAATGGCTTATATTATTAGATTTAAAAATAATAGTTTTTGTAAAAATTGTTCTCTAAAATGCTTGAAAATTGCTTCTTGTGATGCCAAAAACCTTAAGAAACATGTTAATACTGTCTATCAGTATTATTTTTTACTCAAAACAATACTACAAGTACTTTTGACAAACTACAGATTCAGACAATCTGTAGTTTGTCAAAAGTACTTGTAGTATTGTTCGCTAAATAAAATATTAAAAGCCTCTTTCCAATGATTTTTATTTTTACCCTTTCTGCACTTTTAAATAAAAAAATTTGGCTGCTTTGAGTTTTTCTCAGTTTATAAATATCATTTCCAAATCATATATTCATATATTTTAAAAAGAATAAACATTATGATTTAGCTTTAAAATATGCATTTTCTGTAACAAGTCACGCATATCAACGATGTACTGACATCTCAAGCAAACTAGCAAGCATAGATAGCAAAAAGGTTAAAAGGAGGTTCAGACAACACATACCCAAGTTTGTAACTAGAAACACTTTATTTTTTGTTCTTTATAGCCAAAAAGGTAAAAAGGGAAAAGCAACTGGATAGTAAACAAGTTGTTTTCCTGCCCATTAATTGGGGGTTAATTATTAATATGTTGTGTTTGAATATATTACTTGTATTCAAACAACAATTTTACAGATTGTTTCATTTTGAAATAAAACTTAAGCAGTTATTACAATTTTAAAATGTACAAAGATAATGCACTGTAATTTTTAATCAAACATACCTTATTCCTATTGACACAGTAACAACATTATCAAGATTAAGTTTACACCATTGTTCAACATCATATGCAAAAGTTGCACTAAACATTGCTCTCCTGACATTAATAGAATCACAAGCTTTATAAATAATGGCCAATTGATCTCGAAATCCATCTTCACCTGCTTCAAATAATTTGTCTGATTCATCAATAATCAACCACTCAACACTGAAAAAATTGTATTAAATATTTTAAATAAATACTAATATACTTTAATGTATTTAATTGTAATATAAAGTAAAATCAATAATTTTTTTTAAAACTCTAACAATAAAAAAACTTTATTGTATGAAAAAATAAAAATATTGAATGACAAATTGATTTAAAAATCATAATAAAATTTAACAATTTAATATTAGGAGATTATACATAGAATAAATATATACTGTTTGATGAGGAAAATGATCAACAGGGGCATCTTTTAGGGCTCTAAGCCAACAATACTAATCAGTGCTCATTGATGTGAAAATTCGAAGTTAATAAAAGCATTTAGTACTTTAAAAGTTTAATAAGTTTAAAATAAAAATGCCCTCAACCAAAGGAATTTGACCCTACAAAAACGAAATATAAAGTACATGAGAGAATTATAACTCTTTTTGTTTAACTATAAACATTCTCACGATCAAACCGTATATAGTTTACAGTTATCGGCGAAATTCGTCATATTGTTGTCATTCTAACACCACCTTTAACCTCACACCTGCTAAAACAATTGATCACCTGACGAATTTTCCCACCAACAAGGTATAAAAGCCATCCTCCTTCCCCCTCTCCGGGGAGTTGCTAATCAAGAAGTCGCCATCGCACCATCAAGATAGAATTTCGCTTCCCTCTAACCAGCCGCACCACATATTAGAAGACCTTCGATTCCAACCTTCAACTTGGATCCCGCTTTTCAGAAATTAAAGACCTTCGATATCATCGCAAGAGGTATGAACGCTTTATTGTAAGCTCTCTCTCTCATACGCGAATGAGACGTAACATGTTAGAACGTTTGTTTTATTATTTGTCTGTAATAAATTGTTAGTTTAGAAAAATGGTGTCTTTATTCGACTATGCCAACGCCTTATCGTCGGCCCCGTAACTCCCCTCCATTCGCGTAACGCGCAACCGAACGTTACTACCATCCCTGACAAGAAAGTAGGTCACCGGCCAGTGGCCGGAAGGAGAGGACTCTCCTCCTCCCTCCCGGTGCCTCACACTATTATAGTCTTGCTTGCATCACTCATGCAATGCAACAAGTGCATGGTTAGAGCTTTTTATTGTAAGATTATGAAATTACAGCCATCACATATCAGAAACTACAATTTTATCTTTTATTTATGTAATTTTTTCCTTTTCAGATTTCCTATTCTTTTGAAATTTGATTGGATAAATGGAAGAAATAAACACATCAAATGTTGCTTCCCTGTAAATTACAAAAATTGCAGTAATCAAATTAAGTTTAATTATTTAATTTATAAAACAAACAAAGTATAGTATAAGGACAAGGTAGAAATATGCAAAAATTTCTAGGAATTTTAGTGGTTTCACCAATAAATATCTTTATGAAACAACAAAATTTTCATTACAATTACTAAATTTTAATTCATAAAAATAATATATTATTTCTAAAGTGTATTGATTGAAAAAGTTATAAAAATATTTTTGTAAATGAAGCAGAAATAAATCAGTAATAAGAAAGCTACTAAGATTAGTTTAGGCACCACGGGACTCAAATAATATGGTAAAATATATGCAGAAAAATTATATTGGTATGACTATTGCGAGTGTTGCACATAATAAATGCAATTCAACACAATAGTGTTTCAAAATAAATATATTTTAAAAAAAATACCATTTCTTCCATTCTCTGCTCTTTCTTCATCTCTGGACAAAAGAATTCAATTTCAATTCATTTCAAATGGATGTTTGCATTTGCTTGGGAAATGAGACCTGTCACCCAACTCAGCGCAAAAAAAATATATATATATATGTCAATAGAATGTCAATTATGCGAATGCCAATCAACTGAAACGTCAGTTAACTGAAAACATTCAAGTCGGACTGTGTCGTGCTGAATCAAACATTTTTTATACTAGATTAACTTCTAAAGTATATATTTTTTTGTTTTTATATTTTTCAATATTTTTATTTTGTTTGTACAAAATAAAGAAATAATTTTTAATGATATAATAGCCATGATTATTATTATAAAAATTTTCATTAGGCTTAACATCGACAAAAATTCAATGCAAAGTGACATGCAACAAAGAAAAATTTAAACATGGGATATACTAATATACTACATTAATAATGTATTTTTTTGTACATAACTGGTTATCCAAAAAATCAATTTTCCAAACAACCCGAGTCCCCAATTGATTCAGATAATCGACGCTCTACTGTATATATAAATTACTTTTGATAATACAAAGTGTGTGCAACTTTAAAACTTGTTCATTCCATAACAGTGTTATTCAGGAAGTCTGACAAATGCAGTTATTTGATAAAATTACCAGAATTTTTTGTTTTAAGAATATTAGAGTATATATATATATATATTAATTTTTGAATGAAGAGAATCAATATTTGTTAACTGTATGACTATATTGCATTAAAAAAAAAATTAATCACATGTAACCAAACTAACTGTTAAATATAAAAGTCAACATTCTTCCAAATGCATTGTCATCTGATCCTCTTAGAAGGAAGTTTTTCTCTTAGTAGGAAGCTTTTGTATAGACCATAATAAAACACTTTAAAGTTTGTTTACTTTACAATTAGTGTAACTGTTTGTTTTCATTTCACTCTCTCTCAAGAAAGTAATAAACTTTTACTATCCTGATCTTGAACCTTACCCCTCTGTAACTACAAACAAAGCTGATGTCAATCTGTAAAATGAGATCATTTACTGGGAAGCAACATTTGATATGTTTATTTCTCCCATTTATCTGATCAAATTTCAAAAAAATAAACATAGGAAACCTGAGAAAGATGAAAAATTACATAAATAAAAGATAAAATCACAGTTTCCAATATGCGATGACCATAATTTCACAATCTTACAATAAAAAGCTTTAGCCATGCAAGCGTTGCATTGCGCGAGTGATGCACACAAGGCTATAATAGCGATCAGTAATTAGTATTGCTGGCTTAGAGCCGTAAAAGATGCCTTTGTCAATTATTTTACTCACCTGACACATGGCAGAACAAAAGAGTGCATTTCAAATTGCTTTGCTAACAGGTAGAACTGACCTTGACTGCATTAACTTTTGCTTGTGCTAATAATTTAGAATTAGATGCAAACCTTTATGCAATGAACAGTACATTACATTTTATTTATTGCTCATTATATATACTTTTACAACAATATTTACAGTATAAAGCAAAAGACATATCTATATACAGTAACAGTTCGTTGTTTTCTATCAGCTGGTACTGTACACATACATAAGTTTCCTAACTATTTGTGTTGGGTACTTTTTATGACCTTTTTCAAGATCAAGTGGTAATTAGGCTTAGCATTTTGTAGAGAAATCAAAGGACTAATTTGAACCAAAATAATTGTGATATACTGTACTGTATTTATTTTTGGTATCAGATCCTTGGTTATAAACTTGCAGGTGTTCAAAATTGGCATTGAGCCAAGGGAAAACTGCATTCTTACAGCTGCCACATTAAACTCAAGCAAGAATGTACTACAAGTTATTTCTTTGATTGTCTGCATATAGGTTTTCTATATGTCTATCTTTCTTATTCTGGATAAACCGGAGATCCAGATTAATGGGATCTGAATAAATGGAGTTCCACTGTACTTAATTAAAATAAGACAATCTGTAATGAGCAATTATTTATTGTTACATTGTCACAATGCTGGGCTGCAATTTTTAATCATATTTTTAATTTATTTAATTTAAAATATATGCTCTCCACAACAAATTTGTATATCTGTATCTTACTTTTCCTTGAGCAATAGAATCATGCCGGTCATCTATCTAACACCTTTCAGGGGAAATTTTCAAATTGAAACAACGACTTCAGGTTTACATTGGAAGTTCGTATATAGTTAATTGGGACCTCCTACCCCTAATCTTTCCATATCTGGTCTTGGCCTTCATCTATCTAACTTTGTTCTTGAGATTAAGGAAGGACAGACGACAACAGTGGGAATTTACAGGTCTACAATTTTTTCAAATTGCAGCCCAATTAAACAATCTCACTGCTTATACTTCACATATTTTCCTCCATCTTGATAATCAAACACTTGACCAACTGTGGTTGAAGAACACTTTTTATTTACAAAGATGATTCATTGCACTTTTGCAGTGTCATGTTTTAATGTACTGTATTGATCACCATCTGAAGGTAAGTACTGTACTATACAAATTTGCTGTGTAGTGAAAACTGCTCAATTTTCACCAATTTGTAAATTTGAATTCTAAAATTTTGATGCATACAGTATTGAGGATTTGCTTTTTACAATATCTAGACATCATGGCAGACGACAAATGAAAACAACTCTCCATTTAAACGAAGTTGCAAATTCTGAAAGCAATTGTTAGAGGGAAGAAGAAACTTGATATTGCATTAAGATATGGCAATCCAAAATCAAAAAACGTGACTTTTTTATAACCACATTAACTTAGAGGATAGCCATGCACAAGCAATAAGCTTGACAGAAAACTTTTTGTTTGGCTGCCAGATGCAAGAAATAATTCTATCCCTGTCCAACAATATAAGAAAAGGCATGGTAAGAAGCAGAAAAACTAGATATGAATGATTTCAAAGCATCAGATGGATGATTATAGTAGTTTAAGATGGAGTGAATCCTAAAGTGAAAAATGACTAAATTTTGAAATTGAAAAAATTAACACACAGTTATGAAGCAAGACTTATTCAATATGCTCCTCTTCAGAACAGTAGCACTTAAAGGTGTAAGCTTCTGTTTGTTTAAATGTTATGATTTTTTACACCCAATTTGAAACATTTTTTTTTTAAATTTGAAACACCTATGCCTTTTGTCAAAAATTTTTAAAATTTTGCAGGGCAGCTTGGTTATTTTTAGAAAATGTTTCTAGAAATTTTCAGAAAAATCAGACCATTGGTTTGATGTATGGTTCTGGATGTGTGTTATGGTTCATTATTTGCTGATAAAGGAAACCTGCAGTGGTAGAAAACACAGCAAA